TTATTCTCATATAAACAATTAAATGGATATATAGGTAAGCTATAAATATTGGGTGTATGAATTATAGTAAATAAAATTTTAACACAAATTTTTCATAGGTTCTTATCCCAATAGTAATTAACAGATCGAACTTGAACTTATGAAAATAGTCCTCAAAAATTTACTTGTGAATTATCATCTTTTCTGTTAATGAATATCTGGTCTCTTGAAAAATCTCTTCAATTTCTTGTACTGAAAAAAGCTACTGGCAACTTAGCTGTAACTATTGAATTTGATAGAAAAGAGTTACAGTATTTTATCTCCTTGAGATGTGATACATCCAATAAGATTTATGACACTAAAAATATATCAGGACAAATGCTAGCACCTTCATATAAAGAGGTAAGTATTCTATTGGAACTCTATAAAATATTATGTGAATGGTATGTAATATTATATAACAAAAAAAAAGAAAAGATATGAAAGCATATGGAAGTAACTATGAACTAACATGTAAGATTAAAAATAGGTAATGAAATATTTGAATCCAAAGTTATAGGTCAACATGAAAATAATGCAATGATCTTAGTGAAGTAGAATGTGTTTAGAGATGGGACAAGTAATATTTATCCTGAAGAGATATAATATTATTTTGAGCATATACTTACACTTCCAATGAAGGAATTCAAAACACATTTTCTAGTATACGTCAAGTGATATAAAAATGTACCTTCCTCTAATATACAATTTAAGCATAAGTTTATGACATCCAAAGTATCAAATACAGAATTATGGAAAGAAGAATATTATGAGGAAGATCAAGATTCAATTATTGCAGTGTATAGAATATATGGTAGAGTCATTAAGATAGACTATCAGGTTGGGAATAGGAATAATTATATATCAATAATTCCATTGAATAGAAGATTTAATGTTTAATTTATTCTTTTTTTTTTATTATAATAAAGACAACTTCAAGTAGAAAACTTGAATTTTAAGTATATACTGCATAAAGATGAATTAAGTTTAATTAAAATATAGTATCAGAAATCTAATAGATTATATAAAATTTAAAATAAAAAATTTTCTTGTGCACTTGATAAGAAAAGAATATTGATTTCCAATATACTTTAAAAATATTGGGTTCATGATATTACTATAATATTAGATATTTGAAAGAATCTAAAAAATATCATACTCCTGATATTACTATTTATTATCATATACCTGATATTAATAAAATATCGGGTACCTAAGATTAAAACAAAATTTATTACATAACTATCAGGTACATTATAAAATTTACAAAAATACTATTGGGCCCTTAAAAAAATATGCAGATATTGAGCTCCAATATATATAAAAATATTTTATACACCTGATAATTTTCTAATAATTATCTGATATTTGAAAATATCAAGGGGTCGATAGGTACCTGATAAATATCCAATATTCAAATTTTAACTTGTATATATGTATCTCTTATTTAAAATTTCATTGTGAAAAAAATTATATTAAGTCATTTTGGAGAAAACAAAGTGATACACACGTTCACATTACGATTATACATTTAAAAGTCTTCAAGAAATAGTTTTACAGACATTGGATTTTATTTCTTTAACCAAAATTCATCAATTTGCACATTGGTCTAACTAGTACATAAGTATATATGAATATGGTCTTTTTGAAAAAGTTATTGTCTTTGTAATAAAAAAATACAAGTTATATCATCATGTTCTTGAGAGTATTTTAGAAGAATTTGTTATATAAAATAATAAAAAAAAAGAAAGAAATGTATTTTAAAATCATTTTTTATTAATTTTTATTTTTTTTTTTACACTTAAATAAAGAAAAATTTTCATTATTTTAACTTTCGCTTAATTTCAAAACTCGTAATTTTATTTTATAATTAATTATTGCACTTAGAATTTGAATCACATATTTCAAGTAAAATTTAAACCAATCAGAGAAGATTATTTATCCACTGAAAATTTTATTAATAATATAAAAAATACCATCTATTACACAGTATGACAGAATTTTCATCTGATTGGTTTTTGTTAAGATGATCAGCATGAGCTGTGATTGGCTAAAAATTTGTCATCATAAATTAAAAATTTTATCAAATTTATTGAACGCGCATTTGTCAAATACAATAAAAAATGACTAAAAAAAATTCAGAGCCTTGTTCAATAGAAAACTGTACATACAACGGCAATTTTTTTCATAATATAACTAAATTTGTATATCAAAAAACCAAAAAAGAAAATATATTAGAAGTTTATCTATATTTAAATACTGGAAGACAATTATGTCACCAACACTATTGTAAAATAGTAGAGTCTAAATATAATGAACGAAAACAAAAGAAAAAGCCAAAAAATCAAATAGATTGTAAAAAAAAAGTTGAATATGAAAATATAAATTCTATTTTAGAAAATGATAAAGTTATATGTAATTAATTTAAATTATTAAATTTAAATTTTTTTTAAAGTAATAAAATTTATTATTGATTAATATTTTATTTCAGTTAGTTTTAATAAATGATCAAACATTTATTTCAAAAATAAAAATATTAACTAAAGTATTATATAATAAACAATGTCGTAAAGAAACTGAATTGAAATTAGATCCAGTTAATTTTCAAAAAATGATTGAAGATTCTAATCCTGAACTTCAAGGATTTTTTTCTTCAATAGTTAATGCAATTATTTCCAAAGAAAGATCTGCATATAATAGACATGAAACAAAAAAAATCAATAGTAACATTATGTTATATGATTGCTGGTCTACGAAATAAATTTGTTAATCAATTCAAAATAGAAGTTGATTTGTATTTAGCTGCATCTGGTACCACTTGGGAAGCAATTGATATTTTATCAAGCCTTGGATATTCTGTATGTTCAAAATCAGTAGCTAATTATCAACAAAAAATTTATGAAAATCATATGATACATATTGAATCTTATTTTGTAAATAAAGTAAGTAAATAATAAATGATTAATATTTTAAATTATAAAAATTATTAATTTTATTATCTTTATTATTAGGGAGATTTTTTACATATCTACAATATTAATGATTTCCATGATATTCATGAGAAAAGATGTCCTAATACAACTTCTACATCAACAACAAATCATTTTACAACATGTGTTGCCAAACCTGTAATTAGATGTCTAAAAATACCATTAATATTTAATGAAAAATCAGTACATAATTCAAATAATATTGAGGCATGGAGGATTTCATGGTATTTGCTTAATCAATATAAAGGAATTTTTGATATTTCTTATACAGAAAGACAAAATTTTTAGATTTCACAAGAATTTGAAAATAATCATGTTTTTGATAGAATTGAACTTTTAACAGTACATTGTTATGATGACATTATTGAAAAATATAAAGAAAAAAGGTCTATGAATAGACTTCAATTAATTAGTTTCAATTAATAACAATTACACTCAATACAAGATTATTTAGATGTATTAAAATCAATATTAAAAATAAATCAAAAAACAAATCATTTAGAAAATTATGTTGTACCTATTGTAGCTAATTGGCCTGAACAATTATTTATTAGAAAAACATTAGCATCAAGACAATCTAATATATTACCTGAGATCAAAAATTTTATTCCAATGTTAGGTCCCCTTCATCTTTCTCTTAACAGTAGAGAACACATTGTTTTAATTTATTATAGTTTTTTTTAACAAATGTTTTATTTTGTATTTAGAAAAAATAAAAAGTTAATCAAGAAACCAAAGCCCTGGTGAATTAATTTATTATTAGAATTAATGAGAAGTAGGTGGGTTCAAATTAAAAAATATAATTTTAAACAAATTTGGATTATGTAAAGATATAGAATTTCGCACAGCAGTAGATTTATTAGATAATTTAATTCCAGCTACATTGGATATATATGCTATTTTATTTAGATCTGGTTCATTTGATAAATATATTGAAACAGTATTCCGGATATAGACTTTTGTATTGCGATGGAAAAGGAAAAATTATAATAAGGCGCCCCTTGTTTTTTTATCTGATTACTTTTATTGGAAAGACAACAATCATCTATTTGCTAAAATTGTAGAAAATAATTTATTATATTTCAATGATTATTATGTAGAGAATATACATAATAAAATAAGAACAAATATATCACCAAATACAACAGCTGAAAATGTAATTAAATAAGCATACATTGTTGGTATGTATAAATTTTTATTTATTTTATTAAAAAAAATTTTTTTTATTTATTACAAAATTTTTTTAAAATAGTGGACCATGACCCATTGTTCAAAGACACTTATTGTAAAATTCGTCACTACCCACACACTCCTACTACCCTGGATTTTTTATCAGAAAAAACAAGTCTATTTTTATTAAATTATTTTCAAAACGTATTTAGAAATCAAGGAAAAAATATTTCAAAATATACAGGAAGAAGAGAAAAACATATCAACTAGCCACTTTAGGAGAAGAAGTAGATTTATGTTACTTTCCAACAGCCTATAACTCTTCACATTTACCAAAATTTGATTTATGTGATACATGTGGATTCTCTTTAGATAATAACAATAGTGACTGAAATTGATAATATAGAAAATTGGTAATAAATTTTTATAGTATAAAATTATTAAATATATAAAGTGTTATACATGTATTATCTTTGAAATACGCTTCTAAGGTAACTTTTGCAAACCAAATGATCTCAAATGATCTCCACCACAAAGTAATAGAATAACATGAGAAGAAACGTTTCGCAAAACATTATCGAAAATGGTCACGTCCTTCATGTGACACCATATAGGCAAACGTAAAATCATATGAATTCTATAAGTAAATTTTGTGTAACTTGAAGATCAAAAAGTGAAATTCGGTTATGCTCCGTTACACATCAACTAATCAATAATTTATTATGGTTATAGTGAAAAAAAATACATAGAATTGTAGAGCTAATTTAGAGCTATCAAATGACGTAAATTCTATTACAAAAAAAAAACGAAAATGGCTTATCTATGAATGGTTCAATTTCTATGCAATCCGAATTTGATGAGGTAAATAATGGTATTATGATACTTAAACATAATGAAACGAAATATTTATAGTCAATGGCCTTTTTATTTTTAAAGATCTGCGCTAAAATCGAACAAAAGTTGGAGGGAAAAGATTCAGGCATTGTAGAAATCAATTTTCCTACTGGAGAACTTAGCAACCTTAAATTATGTGAAAATATTCACAATGCCTTCAACACTGAAATAATTGGAGATAATCTATTCATCAAAGTAAGTTTTACTATTGCTTAAATATCTCTCATACTCATTAATTTTTGTATCATTTCAGTGTGATGGTGGAGAAAAGGAGAAAATTCATACAAGACTCGAAAATTCGTTCGAAAACCAAAATCAAGATTGGTGGGCAAGTAGCAACACTATATGTGTAGTCAGAGGCAACCAGTACAGACCTGATGTAGGTGTGTGGTTTCGATCCCCAACTCGTCCACAAAGAAGGATGCCGATTACTTATGCATGTCCACCTCCAAATGTTTGGATTGAGGTAATTTATTGATTTTCTGTTTGAAAATGTGGCCAGTATTGTTTAAAATTATTTGATATTTGCAGGTATTCTACAACAATGACAACGATCATAGTTATGCATTTAACAAGATTAATTTTCTTCAGCAAAATACGACTGGCATTGAATTTGTGCAATAGGTCTTTCTTCTGGACTAAGCCCTTTTCGCCCTAAACCTGAAACTGAAATGATGGTTCATGCAACTATTCAACCTACACGACCTACCAGAGCACCATATGCATGTCATTGGGATTTAAATAATAATGAGATATGGTACAAAATGGATTGGAACCAATTTATTACCCTTAGATGTGGTCTAACGATAAGCTTTGACACTGTGCTTGAAGAGTTATAGGCTACTCTCTTGTGTATATGTATTACGTTATCTTTTTTCAGTGAATCTGAAAAAGTGTCGCGTTCGAGAAAAAAAATTAATCGTAGATATTATAATTTGCCTCAGTAGTACTTACATTTCAGCCAAAGGTCGTGCATTTATTTTTATTTTTCTATATAAGTTATGCGATATATATATTATTTACATATTTATCATATCAATAAAGAGTTAAGCTGAAAGACCATAGGAACTAGTTTTTTATAAATAATTCATTGTTACATCTCCACACATGATCTATTTTTTTAATCCATTTTCGATCTTGAAACTCGACTTCATATATAAGTTGTGAAATGCGAAACAAAAGACATAAGTCCTAAGATTTGGGCGAACTTTATTTTATTGTTATTATTATATTTCACAGAGGCGTTACATGGTAATATTTAGGAATTGTCGGAAAAAGAATAAAAAATATCGGGTGGATGCAATTTAGGTTTTCGTTGACCGATCGGTAAGTGAAAATCACGTGAATGTAGCGCAGTAACTAGGAAAATTAGTGAAGATTTTGCAGTGAGATTTCATACCTTTAATTATTCATCTAGTTTTTAATAATAATAATAATAATAAAGAATTGATTAACATTTTAGAATCTACATATCATCTTAGAGTACTATGTTCAAGAAAATGCCAATATATTTATTAAATGAAGTTTATAATTTATAAATGCACAAGTTAATATACATAAAGATTTTAAAGATTTTGCACCTTGAATTTTTTTTTTTTTAATTAAAGTCTTTTATTTAAATTAAAAATCAAAATATCTAGAAACCGTAATTGATACGGTACTTATTTATTCCTTTTTTGAATGTTTGTTTCTTGTCTTCTTCCACTAGCTTTTCTTCTTCTTTTTCCTCTTTATCAAATTGTCCAAGACGTTTTTTGCGTACTTCTGAAAGTTCTTTTGCATTATCTATCATCTCTTGTAACTTTTTCATTGTATCTTTATTATCATCTTTATTAGAACCATCATTCGAATATCCATTACTATTATTTTTATATCTATCATCTCGATAGTCATCTCGATAGTCATCTCGATAATCTTCTCGACGGTGGGTAGAAAATGTATTATTCTGGTTACGCTTTCTTGGTGGATATTCATAGTCGTCATAACGTCTTTCGCGCTTTCTTTCTATACGATTATTATGATAATTTCTATGATACCCATTATGATGTTCCAAATACCGTCTATCCTTATCTTCAACTCTATCTCTGGAACGTGAACGAGATCGTAAATGCCTTAATTGACCAGATTCTTTATCTGTTTTATCTATTTTATCTGCTTTATCTGTTTTATTTTTTTTATCTGTTTTATCTATTTTATCATGTTTTTCCTTTTTATTCTTTTTATCTTTTTTATCTTTTTTATCCTTTTTAACTTTTTTGCTTTTCGTTTTCTATAAAAATTGTAAAAAATAAAAATTATTAGAAACACATATTATACAAATATACGAATAAGCTTCTACTTTGCTAAGAGTATTTATTAAAAATACCTCTTTGAGTTCTTTCATTTTAAGAGGATTAGTGACTATGGCCTTAATATTGGCTTGTTCGATTTTCTTTATCATTAACAAGGGATCCTCTCGAATTTTTGATTGGGTATCTCTATATGTATTAGCATTTGGATTTCCGGCATTGATAAAGATTTCTTTTGAATTCGCTGAAAGCTATATATATATATATATAAACGAGTGAATTAATGAATTTTAATAGATTTATTTTTAACAAAAAAAAAAAAATTCAACGAAATTTAATTTAAATTTTTACCTTATCTGCTGATGTTCCTTGTTCAACTAAAGAATCTACCCGTTTTTTCCCAAGTAAGAAGTCTTCCATTTCTTGTACTTTTGCAGAATTGGACTGATTAGGAGCGACTGCATACATCCAATCCAGCCGTTCTGGACCCTTTCTATATTAAATAAAAAAGAAATTTGATCAATCATAAGTTCCATTTAAGCAAGTCATTTAAAGAAATAGAATTTAAAAATACCTTCCACCAGATGTTTCCTGTAACTTTCTCAGCTCTTGTAATTGCCTTTCTTCTTCTTTTTCTTTCTTTAACTGTGCCAACTTTTTTTGTTCTTCCAAGGCTTTCTGTTCTTCCTTCCACACCCGTTCTTGATTTTTGATCAAGAGCGGATGCCAGGATTTTTTCATATTCTAATTATCATAGTAAAAATGGGTTTAAAAAATTAGGTTTGTTTTTAAAATTCCAAAACAATAGCTTTTGCTTCTATACTTACAAGATCGCCTCCTCCCATTTTGACTTGAGATTAATAGAAAATATAAAATTGCAGTATAGTTGGGTAATAATAATAATAATGTATCAAGTACATTTTTTATTCTATTTATAGTTTTAAAATATGAAATCATGTGATATAACTACTGCTAAATACATGGGTTAAGGTTTATCAGGGGTAGTGTATTTATAACGGTATATCACACCCTTCGAATGTTAAATACTGTATGTGTGTTAAAATATTCCGGGACGGAAACCATATTCATCACCGAATATCAAAATTTCTACATATATAGTAAATTTATTAGATCATCCGTCATTTTATAGATAATCGTTAAGAAAATAAAATTTTAAATAAAATGTCTCTACTATTGAATTCTTCTTCGTTGTTGAAAAAAAGTATAATAGGAAATTTAGGAAATAAAATATTAATAATAAGAACTTATCAAGACAAAGTTAAAAGACAAAAAACAGTACCACTACCTCGAGGTACATTATATAACAATAATGTTTTTGTTAATTCTTTAGAAAATAGACAATATTTTCGTTTACTTTTTTGTTGAATCATAAAATTCTCCTCTTTTTTTTTTTTTTAGGTTCAATTGACACACCTCAAAGATTTTTAGAAAAAATTGGTCGAGGATGTGAAGACGTTGCTGATAAATTTCGAGTAAGGAAAAATTTTTAATCTTTAAATAATAATATAATTATAATTATTTGTTATTATTATTATTATTATTATTATTATATATTAGGATTGGGATCACCTTTTCACAGTATCAAGTTATGAGATGAAAGCAAATTTAGGAATACTAACGAAACAAAGAAAGTTTGTAATTTTCGTAAATTTTTTAATAATTCAAACTATATTTTACTAAATTTTATTTTTTTGTTTCTTTTTTTTTGTAAATATATATATATATATATATGCCAAATAAATATAGATGGATTTTACTTTGGACTGAACATTATAGAAATGGAATTGATCCATATAATATTCCTATTCGTACAGTGAAGAAAAAAAAGAAAAAAGAAACAATAAAAAAATAATATAAATAATAATGACATGAGTAATGAGTATCCTATTCAAGTTTTATATATTTGGATTCACTGTAGCGGGAATTGGTATTGTGTCAGAGTTGGAGCTGGAGATACATTTTTTCGAATAAATACGAAGATAGTCGTAAGAATAATAATAGTGTTACATTTCCCGGAAATAATTAAAAGATTCGAGATGGTATGTGATAAAAAAATGACATGTGCAGGAAAAAATCAAACAATATATCAATTATTTTTATTACGGGCAGGCCTTATATATTTTATTTGTAACGACGGGCATCTCTGATGCATAAAATGAATAAACATGTATTTTTTCAACATTTGCATATATGTTTATTGAAATAAATTTGAATGTGACGTAAATAAAATGTATATTGGTGAGCTCTCTCACTTCAGGAATTCGTTAGTTAAAACCATTCAATACTATATTTTGTAATTCCCATAAATCCAAATAAAACCCATTAACTGCACTAGTAGGGGACACCATAGAAAAGTTCAATGGAAGGAATATTCAATTGATAAATTGGAATACCAGGGATATTGCATGCTTGCTGAAAACCTGATGCCAGTAATGTTAGCAGGTGGAACACCCACAATATTCATAAGAAATTCTATTGTATTATAATGGAGAGGCACCATGTCAAAAGATATGATGATATCTAGTACTGTATTATTTCGATTTGTACGTAGGTAGTGGAGTATAAGCATTGCCTTTGTACTGTCCTGACACTTGGAAAATATTTTGATTGACAAGATAAATTTGAATAATTATTTGTGGAGAAAAGTAACCTATCAAAAGATTCTGCAAGCTAGGAACAGAATTGCTGTTGCCAACTTTGACAATAAATGTTTGATGCAAGCCCTTCCGAGTTAGATTCCTGGCCAGCTGGAGGTTTAGGAAGTCCTCATGGTCGGGTGGTAAGATCAGCCATATAATAACTACTTGATCCCACAATAAGATCCTCTTGCAATATTACATAATAAATGCAATTTCACTTGCTATCACTCCATGTAATGGGAGAGTTACTTTGTGGGCTACATTGACCAAATGAATTCTAACAGGGAACTTTCATTCAGCTTTGAGATACTTGATGTGATACATTTTCAGTGATAATGATTGGCTTCATATATTCACTCACTCACTTCTATTTTTTCTTCTAGGAATGCAAGTGATCCCTGGCTTGATTAAGGTGATCTTTGCTCAACTGGAGTGGAAGAAATTGAGACAGTTGAAACGGTAAAACTAGATCGGGTAAGATATGAAAGAGTGCATTTTTTAATACTGTACGTTGATAATATTTAGTGGGTTCGGGATTAAAGAAAAGGATAAAAAAACTAGTTGCATATAACTACTCACCTCGTAAAGCTTGCACTTGAAACACTTGAAATGAATGCGAATCTTGAGTCATTATATAATTTAGTCATTTTCGCTATAAATTAATATTTGGAAAAGAACTCTGATATATGATTTATCCTATTCATATAAAGCATTTTTCAACCTCTGCTCTATCACTTTGGAGTATCATCACTTAGTCGTAGAAAATGACATCACATCAAAGGAAACTTTATAAATTGATTAATAAGAATTAGTCCATATATTAGAAAAATTAAATTTATAAATTTTGATAATAAAGAAAAAAAAAAGATTATAAATATTGTTGATAGATAACCTGTGGGAAGTAAATGTGGAGTAATGAAAAGTAGCGAGAGGTAATGTGAAGTAATATATTGATTTTTAATTATTAAAGAATGTTTAATAACCGTATAACCATTAGAGCACCAGAGAACTTTATAATTTTTTTTTTTTTTTTGCAATTTACCATATTTATCATTTACTCTATTTCTTCTTTCTTTATATAGAATCTTACGAGAAGAACAATTGTTGTAATTTCGAACAACATTAATAATATTATTATGTTTCTTTTCAAGAAACCTTAATTTGAATAAATTTAATTATTATTACTTTGTAACTAGTAATTTATTCAATTTATTCGTTTTATTCATTTCATTCAGATTTAATTAACATTAGTAGTATCGCTCTGAAATTAAAATAATATATGTACATTTGTATTTTACATTAAATACTATAATATTTTCATTTTTCTATTTTTTATTTTTCTATTTTTCCATTTTTTTTTTTTCCATTTTTCAATTTTTTTTATTTTTCAATTTTTCCATTTTTCTATTTTGTGGACAATAATAATAATAATTGAAATTTCAATATCATCTAATATATATATTTTTATTTTTATAAATTAATGTTATATATTTTTTAGCACGATATTAAATTAAAGATAGTATTGAAGACGATCAATTATTAATTTGGTGTCGAAGATATAAGCATAAAATAAACTTATAGACTTCAATAAAATATTATATTTAAACTCGATAAGCATATTGTATCAAAGATATAAGAAAAGAAGCATAATAATTGTAATAATGACAACGAAATCCCTATTTGGCTAGTTATTATTCTTCAATGTGATGATGAATAAAAATAATGACAATAACGACAATAACGAGAATGAACATATTATGATTTTTATAATGATACGAATATAATAATAATAAAATAATTTATTTGATATTGATGAAAGTGATTCAATATTTATTTATTAAAATGTTAAAATTAATAATATAATATGATATTTGATATTATATAATAATAATTGAATTTCAACTTATAATCAATGCTCAAATGCTGTCATAGTACCATTGAGGGATCTTGCTTGTTTCCTTTAATTCTTTTTCTTGTTTCTATAATTGAGGATATGAATTAAATTCAATAATATAATATTAGTTATTTTAATTATTATAAAGAAATACTTTTAAAAGCATTAATACTTATGAGTTGAAAGTTGGTTCATTGATTTCAAAGAGAGTATTTAGATTATTTGTGTTATGAAAATTTCTTTGAGCATCTCTGAACTACTTGCATTTGCATATATTTTTTGAAATTGTGATAACATTTGTTTTTTAAAACTTTGAAACTTACTTGTACGTATATTCAAAAGTGATATGATAATATATTCACGTGTCGAATAAATTTACGGAAACGAATGATATGCAAAAAAAAAAAATATGTAATCATTATTGTAGAAGTTAAGAAAGAACAATTCTAGAATAAAAATCATTTTATAGAATTACTACGTCAATGGTTAACAGTTATCGAGCCTTGGTTAGAAATGAATAGATTATATATTTATATGATTATTTCCAACAATGTATGGTCATATGTATTATTTTTTTTAAAATAAATTTATTGATTCATAAAATAAAATTTTACATATAAAAATAATTGTTATTTATATAAACAAATTATTCCTAAAATCCTAATAAAAAAGTTTGTATTTGAGGTACTTAAGGTTCTTGGAAATCATGATCTCATGTGAGATAACTATCTAAATTTGATATTCAGGTCAAGTTCCAGAGCATATTGTTTGAAACGATTAAACCAATGTGGTTTATTTCTGAGAACAGTTCCGTTTGTGTTGTGAAGAGCCTGTTCTTTGTATGAGCTATACAATTCTTTTGGTAAGACAAAATAAAAATTGATATCTGAATTGTCGTCCCGGTCAATATATTTTTCCAAGTCACTCTTTACAATAGGATGCTTCTCAGCAATAGTCATTTGGAAGAATTTATTTGGATAAACAAATGCACCGAAAGATGCGTTATTTTTTTGAGCTGATATACAGTATTTGCCTTGTACAATCTCGTCGGGATTACTGAACAACAATTTTGACCGTTTAGGTACTATTTCTCTCCAATCACGATTTATCCTAAAGTAATAAGTAGCCTTTTCAGATAAAGGACGAACATTGAATAGTCCTCCATTTAGTAAGGTTCTATGAGCCATCCGTTCAAATATTGCACTCCGGAGTGTGCCATAATTACTTATTGATAAGCTAGCTGTCACGAAATTCAGCAACTGTTCCCTGAAATTCGTTTCAAGTACATTCAATACCTTTTAAGAAACATAATCAGATGCAAACTTTAAAGTTGACAATGTATAGAGGGTACTCTTTTTTCTGTGTTAACTACTGTAGAAGAAGATTCCCCAGGAACTTCTTCTCCTTTCTCTTCTATTTGTATATTCGTATAGATATGGATAATTTTGTGATTGGCACTATTATCCTCTGTGCTTTTACCAACAAAACTTAATATCTTATCATTAACCGAGTTAATTGCCTTCTTTAGGAGTTTTCTCTGAGAAGTGTTAAGAGTATAAGATAAGGTAAAACGAGGAATTCCACCCCATTTATTGTATAATTTCAAAACCTTCTCTAGGCTAAGATTTTGGAAAATCACTTTCCTGCACGTATCAGTCTCTACCCAAGACCACACTGGCATGTATCGAATTCTTGTCTCATCTTTATCAAACGCACTATAGTATTTCTTTTGAGGAGAACAGACTAGAATTGTCCTGGCTTTGAAACCCTTTGGCTCCCAGCCATCAACTATATACCAAGTATCGTCATTTTTCAGGTAACCTATGAATTCACTATCTGCGGAGCCACGAAAAATGCCTTCCTCGCTAAAGAGAATTGGATCCTCATTTTGTTTGTGATATACAACCGTTTTATTTTGTTTTTGCAAGAAGATAAAGCAGATGATAACTGAAGAACGTTTTCCCAATCCCCGGATTTCCGGTAATACGCCAACGACGGACATTATCATTTTCAAAGATAATCTTAGACAGATGGAGTTAACATTCACGAATGAACCAAATGGATGTTTTGGAACCTTGCTCATTTGTGCCCGTAAGATAAGAAACATTCTCGTTAAATCAAAGGAACCGGTCACCCTCACGCTCATAATCTTGTCCTTCCTTCAAAGCAAGCCAAAACCTTCTCAGTTCGTTATCATCGTTTTCAATTTTTAATCGTTTATTAGGGGGCACTATTTATTATTAAATATGGTGCAAATCAGAAGAGAACGAATCAATGGTTATCAAAAATCAAGCCATCTCGATTTATATACTTGCGTCAATGGGTTGAACGATCATGACATGAATACATTCCTTCGGAGGCGTATCACCCCAGTAGTATCCAATATCTCTCATTCCAAGAAGTTCATCTTTGTCCTGGAGTGAAGGAGTGCTTTCACGAGTTATCGGTATATCCACCTTCCCAAAGCCTGAGTTTACTGGCATCAATATTAGCAAAATCATTGGAGTAATCCGCCTTGTTCGATAGTGTCCCCCTTGCTAATCTTGATTGAAAAAGTTTGCGTTTTAGGGGTTCCCTTAATAAGGCAGGAAAGCTTGGTTGACATTGTATACGTGCAATATTATTAAAGTAAATGAACAAGAGAAATTATATGATGAAAGATCATATGTCAAGTGATAAAATTTTAGCCAATGAAAAATCGTAACCGAGTCAAAGGCTTTTTACTTGTATAATAAAATAGACACTTGCGAAAAAATGATTTTATCACTACTCTCTATTTGTGTAAAATAACACGTTATGATGAAATACTTCAAAAAAAAGAATATGCATAATAAAAAAAGATAATTTATCAGTGCGAAAAAAATGATTTTGTCATTACTCTCTATTTGTGTAAAATAATAAAATAGACACTTGCATAATAAAAAAAAAGATAATTTATCAGTATGCGAAAAAAAATGATTTTATCATTAGTCTCTATTTGTGTAAAATAATAAAATAGACGTTTGTTATGACGAAATATGAATATGCATAATAATTTATCAGTATGCGAGAAAAAATGATTTTATCATTACTCTCAGGTAGTCACACGATATTTAAAACTTTTTTTTTTATTCAAGCTGTTGTATTATTATTATGATTTAAGTAATGGGGATAAAACTTATAAAAGTGAGTTGGAAGACTTAAAGATTTATTTCCTCATTTCATTTTAAAGCATCTTTAAATGTTTGTATTAAAAAAGTGCCAGAATTTTAAGAGCAATATATGTTGAGAAATCTATAATGGATCCCTTGTCAGACTTTATACCTCTCATTCTTACAAGCAATTAAGCTCACACAGAGTAAGTGACACGAGTTTTCAAAGTTTCGCGCTTGGGTGTCGATAAGTTAAAGGAGTATTATGCATCATTAGATATGTCTATAAATATTCAAAATTCACAACGATTTTTTCCCTATCCGAATCATTATAAAGGTACAATAATATAGTTTACATATGAAGGAAAACCTATAGATCACAAACTTCTTTTGAAAATTACAACAGAAGGCGGACAGAAAATTATTATGGCCTTATAATCAGAGAGCACATGAACTGTGTAGTGAAATTGGAAAAGCACCAAAATTACTCGACATTAACAAAGAAATGATGGATGATTTTTGTTTTTGCTGATCTCTGTGAATTCAACATTTTGGTTAACAAATCTCAAGGTTAGTATTAAGGAATGCTAATAGATATTGATTGGACTGGTAAAGAAGGGGTCGAATGCTATCTATCTTTCATGAATCATAAGAATATTAATTGGTCACCAGGGGCTAAAAGATAGGAAAAAAACTGAAAAAGGATATGATATTTATTGAATAACATTGAAAATTAAATACATATTTGGGTATGGATTTTTTAGTTAGTAATGGTATTTAGAAACAAAATAAAAAAATAAAAAATCAATAAACTGCATATATCCAATATCATTTAACATTGTATTAATAATATTCATATGTTAATTTAATCATATATCAATTGCGTATAAAATTTAGTATTTTATTAAAATATTAAAATTCACACAAGCAAAGATATTAAAATTAAATTATCCATTGTTAATTTTAACTACTTCGTTATCTGTAATTTAGTGGAAGTGAATTGAATGACCACTGGATGCCTTACATATTCTCTCATCATCTTACGACATGAAAATCAAATTATTAATCAATCCTAGATTTAGACAATTTTGATGTATTAGCAATATTTCAAATAATATTCCATTCGATTTTCTTCCCATTGGGTAGACTAAGAGACTTAAACACAAGGAATCTAAGAGGTTGTCTATACCTTTAGCATCAATTCTAGATTTTTGAAAACATTTTCAAAAAAAAAAAAATGAAATTACTTGTCTTATGATAAACATTTAAAGTCTTACTTTTGTTCTATAAGACCTAGTTCTTATAAAATTTCTGGAATTATTTTATATGGATCTTCATAATACTAAATATATCTGAGAAAACAATTCAATTTTTCTCATATAATTATGCCTTGAGCTGATCTCGCTCTTGCTGTTTAATAAAATTAGTGGGATCACTTCTGTGAAAGAATTCAATGTATTTTTGTCCTTGTACTTCGATTACAAAGCCATACTGATAATAATAGATATCCAGCTCTTAATCCTTGGTGTTGCTCTTGTGTTTTTAAGAAATTAGTAATATATAAACAAATATATAAATAATAAAATAATATAGAAATAAAAATAAAAATAAAATCAAAATATAGGAAGGTGATAAAACGCGATTGTGTCCAATCAAATCTTAGTCCCCTAATTTTGGAAATTTTTATTACTAAAAAGGATGAAAGGGATGAGGTCTAAGGATAATCTTAATTTTATCATTCTATTAAAATATCGTGATATTATGTCTTTCTATCCACTCGGAGGTTCGTCACAAACTGTAAATCAGCAAAATGTTGCCATGGCCGAACAAGAATTAGAAATGGTTACGGACACATTTTATAGGTAATTATTAAAGATTCGTAATTATTTTTTTTTTTTGATTGTAGAAAACTTAAAAAATAAATAATTTTTTTTATTATTAAAAAAAAATAAATAATAATAGAATTGTTGATTCTTGTTATAAAAAATGTATTCCGCCAAAATATATTGAAGGTGAATTAAATAAAGGTGAATCTGTTTGTATTGATCGATGTGTCGCTAAATACTTTGAAGCTAATACAAAAATTGGAGAAGCATTACAAAAGAAAGGACAACAAGCAACTCCAGGATTTGGTGTATAATTTTTAAAAAAAAATTAGAGTAATTAAAGATGGGTAAATAAAAAAAAAAATTTTTTTTTATTTACAAAAAGTTTATTGTGATAAATGCATTACTTTTACTCAACCAAATGTTATACTTCTAAATAACATCTATTGAAATTATGATTAAAATGTTTAAAATGCTATATATCACCAAAAATTTCAAAAAAAAAAAAAAATAATAATAATAATTTTTTTATAAAATTATTAATGTTTTTATCAAAAATAATAATTTATCAATTGAGAACAACTGATAACATATCTCCATCTTCTAACTCAGTGTCTTCTAATTTATTCATATCTTTTAAAGTCTCATCTTCTAATAATAATTTCACCTTAACATCTAAAGGTATATTTTTGATGTTTTTGTATTTATCAATAACGGCTTGTACGGTTAAATTCTGTAAATCAATTCGTAATTACGCGTCGGTTAAAAAGTTCGTAAATATAATAAATATAATAAATATAACATTAGAATATTTTTTTTCATACCTTTTTAACCTTCAATTTTTCAACTGATTCATCCTGACAGCGTAATTTCAAATATATATAATTATCATCCTCGATATCGGGTACGTCTGAATTTTTATCATTTTCTGACTTGTCCGAATCGGTTTCCAATAAGCGTTTCTTTTCAAGATTTTGCTTTTCTTTAATATAATTGTATATGTCCTTCGTATACGCCTCTAAAATGGGCAATAGATTAATATATATATATATATATATACATAATAATAAAAATTCAATTATTTATTATTATTTTTTACCTATAATAACATTACCGACCATTCCTAACGATTGAGGTGTGCTACGAGGAAATATTTTTACTTTATTATATGTAAGTAACAAATCTTGCTTCCTTATTTCTCTCTTCTCACTTATGTGCTTAATCATTTGTTCGAAATTATCATCCTATTAATAAATAAATGATTTGAGAATAAATAATATTTGACATTTTTTTTAAATACCATTTTTTTTTAATTATTTTTAATATATTTACAGCTCTAATTATAAATTTTATTGGTTTCTCGGTCTTTTTAGTAGTTGGTTCGGTTTCCGGATGCCGTATTATAATAACCTTAATTTCAACTTTGGCATTAGGATTTCGATTGGACTTATCATGCAATTGTTTAATTGACTGTTGAATAGCCAAAAGTTCTGGATCCAGTTCCATATCATCTTGTGGTTCATGAGATATACCCGGGGAACTTATTTCATTACCATCGGATCTTAATCTTTCCGAATATTGCATAAGAGTTGCGCTATTTAGTTATGGTAATAAATTATTATATTTATTTAATAATTTGATAATTTAAGGTGAAATTCAAATTAATAAATAATCTTACCGTATCATACCAACAGTAGATTTAATTTGATATTCATTTAATTCCGGTGGTGGAGTCAAAGATGATTCTCGATCATCTTCTGAATTTTCATCTTGCTCTTTAACTTTGACCTTTTTGACCTTTTTGCCTTTTTTCCCCTTTTTTCTTACTCCCATATAAACATCACCATCATCATCATCATCCGAGAAACCACTTTTAAATCCAAATCATCATAGACAATTATTTTTTTTTAAAAAAAAAAATTAATGAAATTAATTTCAAAATCATTTCTGATTTTTTTTTTTTTTTTTTTTTTTTTGAAAAAATCACTTACGAAAGGTTATGAGGACTTGAATCACTAAGAAAATTTATATCGTCTGACATTGTCCAATCTGGTCGTTTGTCTTTCTTGCTTTTTTTCTTTTTGGTAGGTCGTCTAGAAGTTCCTTCCTCAGTGAGTTTAGTGAGTTGTAAGCTATCATTTTCAGAATTCAGTTCTTCGGTCATTTCCACAGATTCTATGAAGCATTTTACGAATGAATAATATCATTTGACCAACTTAAATTATGTTTGACAAAAGATACAAACTTGTTGGTTTAGTGATAAAGTTTCGAGAGAAATTAGTTTTTCGCGTAAAAAAACTGTCGTCATCGTCTTCATTTACTGATACATTATTTAAAGTATTTAAGAGATTCGGCTCTTCGTTATTTAGTATGTACGACGTAGACACGGAAGATTCGGAAACTCCAGAATCAACGCGTCGCGATTTAATTTTAACATTTCGCGGCCTTATTCTATTTGTCTGACGTTTTGTAACAATTTCTTCATCTGAGGACGCTACTGACATTATGAATTGCAAAATAAACTATTGAAACTATTTAACAAGGTATAATTTAAAAAAAGATTAGAGAAACTGTTAACAGGTTTACTCAAATATTTATGTGTCTATGTGTCACAGCACATAAATACCTTCTCTCCTCCTCTATGTGTGTCACACAAAATCGGTCAACAATTTTTCGACTCCGCAACATAAACTTACTCATAACCTCCTTTATATATAACTCCCATATATATAACTCCCATATTTTTGATTTATTTTATTTTATTTTATTTTATTCATTTGATTTCAACAACCAACTTTTGTAAACTACTTTGTATAAAAACTTTTATGTCATGTTTGGTTGGTTGTTGTATAAAACTGTATGGTAAGATCAAGCAATATTCATTTTATATTCATTGGAATTAATACTTAAATTTATCGAATTTATCTAATTTATCTTGATTTATCTAATTTTATGTCGTTTTAGCAGCTTTGCAGGTTTTCTGTACCCCGCGTATGCATCATTTAAAGTCATAAAAGTCAATGACACAAAGAGTATAACACCTTGGTTAATGTATTGGATTGTCATGGCATTTTTTTCGGTCGCAGAAGCAGTATTAGATAAATTTATCTTTTGGTAGGAAGAATTTCTTTTGATTATTTATTAATTATATAATTTTAATATTTTAATTGGTCAATTTATCAATTTTATTTTATTCATAATAATAAGGTTGCCATTCTACTATGAATTTAAAATGTTATTTGTATTATGGTTAATAATGCCACAAACTCAAGTAGGAATAGTTTATGAATTTGGGATCATCTGTTTTTTTTTTTTTTATTATTTTTTATATTAATTTTTTTTTTTTTTTTTTAAAAAAAAAAAAATAAATATATATATATATGTATATAATATAATTTAATAATATGAATTTAGGGAGCTACGTTTCTTTATCAAAGTTTAGTTGATCCTACTTTAACACGTCATGAACAAGAAATTGACTCAGCTTTAGCGTTGGCTCAAGAACAAGCAACAACTACAGGTGCTGAATGGGGTCGACAAGGACTTGCGACATTACAACGTGTAGCCGTTAATGGACTTTCAAAAGTCAGAATTTTTTTATTTTTTAAATATTTAAATATTTAATTTAAAATATTTTAATTATAATTTTTTAATCTTTTATTTATTTCTCTATTGTGTATTATTTATCATCAGGGACAACATATTTTAAATGAACAAACAAAGATCACCGAATTAACTAATGGATCTTTGAAAGTTCAAGAAAGACAAATTAATTTATCTTCAACAACATCTAATATTAATTCAAAAAATGATGAACAAACAAAAGAACAAGAATCTTTACTTTCATATATTTTTTCTAGTTATAATAAATTATCATCATTTTCATCTCTAATACCTAATAACAAAAATTTAAAAAACAATTCAATTCTTCCTGACGAAATAATTAATGCATCTCCAAGAGAACAACAAGTATATATTCAAAAACAAAGAAAACAATTAGAAAGGATGTTAAAAAACCTTGACGACGCACAAGAAGATATTTATACGAGAACGAAAAAGTGATAAATAGCATCTACTATTACTAATGGGAAAAAAGAATTAAAGATCAATTAAAATCCAATGGTAATAATTTCAAAAATAATAAAAAAAAATAATTTAATTAGAAATATAATTCTTTCAAATCCAGATGAAGAAGACACCAATGACATATCATCAAATGAAAATCAATAAAATAAAGCAAAGGGAATGAAAAATTATCTATTTTCTAAAACTTCAGTTATATATATTATTAGTAAATTAGATTGATTCTTTAATGTATTAATAAAAGTTGTTAATAAAAGTGTGCTATGTATGATATTTTTTTTTTATATGCAAATCATAATATTTGGTAAATTTTTTATTTTTAAATATAATATATAAAAATAAAAATATACATATCTGATATATTTTCTAAGTATAACGTGACAATAATTCTAATAAATATTTATTACACTTTATAATATCTTGTGTCATTATTATTTAATTTTTTTGATAAATAAAATTAATTTGGTAAATGAAATTAATTTGATAAAAATACTTACAACTCCTTTGACCAAGCAGTGCACAGGCCTCGAGTAGACACTGGAACGATATTTTGTACCTGCAAAGAATTAGTAAACCTGCTAAGAACACGATCAACACGATCTAAAAATATAAAACGTACCCTTTTAATAATAATTATCGTTTTTGAAGGAAAAATGTAACTAATAAAAATATTAGAAATCAAAAAAAAAAAAAATAGAATAAAGTTAAATATATTAACTACTATGGGAAAACGAATAAAGATAAATAGTAAAGATAAATAGTAAAGATAAATAGTAATGATATTAATAATAATGATGATATGCAATACAATTTCTATATTCAGAAAAAAAAAATAACCCAAGGAAAAAATATAAAGGAATAATTTATGACGACAACCTAAAAAAAAAATATACTTTCTACACAACATATTCCCCTTAGAAAATTCTTCACATACTCCATAAGATGTAATTATCCACATAAGGAAGTGGCCCCCCTGATTACCATGTTTTTAATTATATTAAAAACTTTTTGTCAAATATAAAACGATTTTTTCTTTTGAATTTTTTGAATTTTATATATATATATATATTATATATATTTTTTAAGGGAGTAATGGTCCCATTTCGTCGAGGAATGACGCCCAGTTTTCGTCAATCCTGGCATATTACTTCAATTCCTGAAGCTGAAAGTATAAACATTCAGCCAACTGTAATTTTAGAGAATAATATGCCTACTGCTAAATCTCGTTTATCAGTTATCATTGGAAAATATAATAATTTCTCTAAAATATTAGAAAATGAAGAAGAACTTTCAAATTTGCCTACCTCTCTTAATGAAGTTCAGGAAATGAAAAATTCTATGAATCATTCACCTTCTACTCCCTCTACGCTTTCATTTTCTAGTCGACGTATCTCAAATATTTCAAATATTTCAAATATCTCAAATATCTCAAATATTTCATCCTCAACAAATACCGATGAACTATCAGATTTTTCTCCTTTATCTTCTTCATTCAATTCAACTTCAACTTTTAATAATAACATTAATAATAATAATAATAATAATAATAATAATAATAATAATAATAATAATAATAGTGATAGTTTACGTGATTCTAGATCAACAATTAGTAGTTCTTTTACTTCAAATGATTATTTTAATAATCCATCTTCTCATCAACACCAACACCAATACCGATATTCTGTACCCGATAATGACTCAGAAGATCATAAGGAAATTGATTTAACCCCTCGTCCGGCATCAATGCCCATTATATTAAATAATGATGAAACTTTTAATAGTGAAGAATCTAACGTTACTTTGCATGATGATCTTCGAAAGATTGAAGCTAAAGAAATGGAATTGGAATTTTCCAAAAATCGGTCAACATTTTATTCAGTATCCAATTCTAATCAAAGTATTCGATCAACTGTACGAAATAAAGATAAATTTAATGCACGATTGTCTAAAGCTTCAATGCGTTTAAGCTTAAATACCAGGATGCAAAGAAGATTGAATATAGCTTTGGAAATTATAAATACTGAACGAAATTATGTGGATTGTTTATTACTTATACAAAATGTATGAATATTTCTAACTTTAATTTCTTTTAAATTATAATATAAAAATACTGAATCATTTTTTTTTTTAAAAAATCTATTTTGATTAGTTATTCCTCGATCCACTTAGAAAATCTTTACGAACGGAAAATCAAATTTTAACAAAAAAATCTATCAAAGATCTTTTTGCCAATATTTTGGATATAATCAATGTTAATTCTGAGTTGTTGAAAAGATTAGAGGAGAGAGTAGCGGGTCCCTTTGATGAAGAAGTTGAAGAAACTGAATTTGAATTTTGGAATCCTGAGAATGGTTGTTTAGGAGATATTTTTTTGAATATGGTATTTATTTATTATTATTATTTTTTTTATTTTATTTTTGATTTTTATTATGAATTTTTCTTTGAAATTAAAATATAAATTGAATTTAATAATAATAATAATAATAATAATGTATTTGTTTATAATAAAATTAGGCTCCATTCTTTAAAGTGTATTCTGTATACGTGAAAAATTTTGATACTGCTCTCTCAGTTATTAATACTCAGCTAAGAGACAATCTTCAGTTTTCCACATTTCTTAAAGTAATTCATTTTATTCATTTTTTTTTCTCATTCATTTTTCTCATTCACATTCATTTTTTTTTTTATTAATTAATTGAATCTTTTTGTATTATGCAATTAGAATGTGATGAAAACGGGTCAATGTAAACATTTGACATTAGAGGCATACTTACTAATGCCAGTACAAAGGATTCCAAGATATAAAATGTTATTAGAAAATTTATTAAAGATAACAACCGAGAGTCACCCTGACTATCTTAATTTAATTAAGGCGTATCAAATCATAGAGAGCGTTGCTACATTTGTGAATGAAACGATACGTCAACATGAGATGTTTGTTACTATGCTTGAGATTCAGAAATCATTGGCAGGATTTGATGAAGCATTATTGGTTCCTGGAAGAAGATTTATTAAGAGGGGGACTGTAAAGAAGGTAAACATTAAATATTATTATTATTATTATTATTCTTATTATTATTATTATTATTATTATTTATTATTATTATTATTATTTATAATTAATTAATTTATTATAATTATTATTAAATTATTTATTTATTTAATTAATTTATTTATTATAATTTATTAAAACTATTATCTGTGTTTAATATTTATTTTTTTTATGTATATTAAATAATTGTAAAGATATGCCGTAAAAATCATCAAGAACGAGAATTCTTTTTATTTTCAGATCTTTTAATATATGCAAGGTAAAAACATAATATATATATATATAATTTATATATTTACTATTAATTCTGTAATATTATAATCTCTCTCACACATATCTATTTTTGTTATTTATTTATTTATAAAAAGTCGACTAAATTTAATTGATAATATGTACACGTTTCATCGTAAAATTGATTTAGAGGATTTGATGGTATTACATGCAGGTAAAAAATAATTATCTTTCTTACCTTTGACAAATTGATTTTTACATATAAATTAATTAATTAATTATTTTATAATACTTATTTTTTTAAAAGAAAAACAAGATGAGAAAAATGCATTTCAAATTATTAGTCCCCAAAAAAGTTTTACAGTTTATGCAGGTAAAAATAAATTGTTATTAAACATCCCCCTTTTTTTTAAAAAAATGTATCTCTAGAATATAAAGAATTAATTAATTAATTATAATAAAAATTTATAGATACTCCCCAGAATAAAGAATCATGGATAAATGTCATTAGAGAGACAAAAGATGAATATTTAAGTGCCAAGAGAACATTAAGGATTGGTATGTATTCTTTCTATTCCCATTTTCTTTTTTAATTTATTAATATCTCATTAAATTATATAAATATTAATAAATAGATGGCACGGTACAGTTGAAAAGAAAAGATTCACATCAGAAAAGAATTGTTGAAAGTTATCTTGCACCTATTTGGATTCCTGATTCCAAAGCAGACAAATGTATGAATTGTTCTGAAGAATTTACAATCTTTAAAAGGAAACATCATTGTCGTGCATGTGGAAAAGTGGTCTGTCATGACTGTTCTACGAGGGTGAATAACATTATATTACTATATTAAAATTAAAAAATTATAATTCAAAAATATATTTTAAATATATATCTTGCTCAAATAAATTTTATTTCTTTAACAAAATTTTAATAGAATTTTACCATACCCGGAACAAGTGAACGCGAAGATCAATTAGCTCGCGCTTGTGATGCTTGCTTCTTTACTATGTTTCCTGATGCACATAGAGATGAAGATAAAACATCCAGAACTCGTGTTTTGAACCAAACTACTTCATCCAATACTTTATCTAATACTTTGTCAAATACTTCATCCAACAATTTGTCAAATACTACATTCAATAATACAATCTCATCAATTAAATCTATTGATAATTCGGAACGAGAGAGTCATGATCCTGATCCTAAAATTAAAGATAAAATTAGATCAATTCACGATGCAATTGTGGCCAAAAATTGTGAATTATGTTTAGTAGATTTTAATGTATTCCGATGGAGGGTAAGAAAAAAATGATTTTTATTATTTTAATTATTTTAATTTGTTTTAATTGTTTACAATTTAATAATTCTTATTAATTATTATCTAGAATGAATGTGGAAAATGCAAGAAAATTCGTAAATATTTTATTATTTTACTCTTCTATTATTCTAATTATTATTATTATTATTATTATTTATTTATTTATTTATTTATTTTATTATTATTATTATTATTTATTTATTTATTTATTTATTTATTTATTTTATTATTATAACAAATAATTTGGAATTTTTTCTAGTATGCACCGATTGTCTCACCAAGAAACCGAATAATGATTTAACACCGACCAATTCCAATCGACGTTTCAGTATGATCTATAGTTTTCGATTATGTGATTTTTGTCATTTGGGTAAGGGTTTAAGATATTTGTTTTTGATTATTTTAAAAAAAAAAAGAATTTTTGTAATTTTGAAAATTTTGAAAGAAACCTGTTTTAAAATTTTGCTCGCTTTTTTTTTTAAATCAAAGGTCTTGATCCAAATCGCGTAAATCGCGTAAAACATGATGAACGTGACGGTGGAGGACTCACTATTAATTATCAGATATCGCCGCCTTTATCGCCAAAGAGTCCTTAATTTATTCTATTTATTTATCGTTGTCTTTCTTTATCTATCCATTCATTATCTTTCATTATCTTTATTGTATATTTTTATTATCATTCTTCTAATATTTCATTTTGTATAATATTCTCATTTAAAAAAAAAAATTATTGTAAATTATTATTTTTTTAATTCCTTATTTTTTTATACATACATTTATATTTTTTTTGAATATTAATATTCACGTATTGTACAATATTATTATTATTAATTTATTTATTTTATACACTTTTATAAAATTTTAAATATATAAATATATAAATATATCTCTAATTTAATATAATATTACATTCACATCTACATATAATTATCGATGTAATCTTTTTTCTTCTTTTCTTTCTAGAATTATAACAATTAATATTATTCAAATCATTTATAATTAGTCATAACTCCCTACCTAAATTCTTAAGGGGAATTCTCCGGAGATTGGATGTTTGTTTTCCGGAATTTTTTTTTTTGTTTCTTTTCTAAATTTAGTTTTCAATGAAATAAATAAAACACTCCCTAAAAAAAAAAAACAAAAATATCATATCATTGATAAATTTTAATATTGTTTGAGAATTTTCTAATGTTTTATGGGGGGGAACTTTATAATTCTTCTCTCTTCATTTCCACTCCTTTTAAACGAAATTACAAAATAATATATTAGTCTAATAATAGTAAGAGAACAATAAAAATCAATTTATCTGCAACCTGATGAATTTAGAATCTTGGCATTTAAATATTTCATATTTATCTGTGTTATTTTAATCACTAATAATATTATGCATATTCTTCACGCCTTATAAATATACTTTGGGTTCGAAAAAATTATTTAATTACCACAATCACGTGTCACAACAGTTATTTACTTCATATATTGTATTTATATATACTGCACCATATCGTATTATGATATCATAACGGTTTTGAAATAAAGAAATTGGTTCTATGCAATAAGATATATCAATAAATTCTGTTCTCTTTTTTTTTCAGCCCCTTCATCAATTCATCAAAAATTTTTAGATGGTAATTTGCGCACATTTTGCCTTTTTTTTTTTTTTTGTTGTTTCAAAAAAAAATAAAAAAATAGTGTTGTGTAAGGAGTTAAAAATTACATGGGTCAATTTATTTTAATTTACTTTAATCTTTTATTCTAATTTTTTTTATTTTGACTTTTACTTTATGTTTATTTTAATAACTTACTTTAATAATTTACTTTAATTTACTTTAACTGAAACCCTTATCTGATCATACAGTTCACACAAAAAAAAAAGGGATTTCACGAACTTTCTTAGTATTTTGTACTTTTTACTTCTTACTTTTGTATACTCTTTGTATACTCTTGTATTTAATCTTTGATAGATATCTATTTATATGGATTTTATTTTATTTATATCTATGTCTTTATATTATTAGATTATACGTTGTTTTTAAAAATTATTAGAGAGATATAAATATTTTTATATAAATATTTATATATATTTATATTTGTTATTGATAAACAAATATAATCTATTGTTTATTTTTAAACGTGGATATTCGACGATCGTGAGTTAAAAAAAAAAAAAAAATCATAACTTTAATAATTTTTTTTTCAAAATTTTATTGGTTGTTATAATATTGCATCGTATTAACCATAATCCATTCAAAATTTCATACATGTGGGTGGTAAATTATTTTTATCGAAAATGCTTGAAGAAAGATGCAAAAAAACTAATTTGTAATTTAAAAGATTCGCAGATTTTGGAAATTATATCTGAAACCTTTTTCTTTCGTTTGGGGGTAATATTCACAAAAATCATATAAACATGTGTTCTTAACGGTTATCTACTGTCTCAGAATGCCAATTCTCGGTTTCTCACTGAAATTGTATTCATTCAAATTTCAAAGAGCTTCCTTGTAGTTTAACTTAATTTATAATCTGCATTCTATAAGAACAGAATTGGATTATTGTTCAACCTTATTTGAGTGAAACAAACTCCGATGTTTGTAAGTTATTTGAGTTTCCATTTGTATTATATTATTTAATCCATCATCAAAAAGTCAAACATAAAGTTAAAAATTTACATAAGTCACATAATTTCACCAATTAAAGTTAAGTTTCGGCAACACAATGGAATTAAGGACAATAGCACAACCTGAAATAAATTGAAATTGGTATAAATTTCCGATTCTCCCGGCAACGAAAAATTGAATTTTTAAAGAAAGGAATTTTTTTACCGTTAATGATATTCACATATTTGTCCAGGTTAGGAGTTGGAGTTAATGGATGTTGATCTTCATTTTTAATTGTCACCACCAGTTGAGTATTGATAAAACACTATAAATTCTGTGATAGAGAAGGTTAGCTTTAGAAAGAAAATCACGGAAATCAAGGTTAAATAGAAAATCATCCTTGCATACAAGTTTATAAACAAGAAAATTTTTTCAATGAAATTAAAAAAAAAAAATTTTCCCCGGGCCATAATAATGTAAATAATGCAAATATTTATATTTACTGATCTAGATAAGCTCTATTTATTGACTATATTAACTATAATTTATATAATTTAACTTTTTTTTTTTTTTTTGAAAAAAAAATTTTTTCTGTGGTACTAAACAAATAATTAATTAATTTATAGTCACTAACCTGCCTTTTTGCTTTTTTCAATTGAATTCTTCTATTCTATATTCTATTCTATATTTCTATTTTGAAAAATTCTATAATTATTTTATTCAATAAAGACTTTTATAATTACTATTAACGATAAATTTATATAATGAAGCACGAAATATAACGAACAGAGAAATTTAATTTACGCGGCATAAAACGCCATTTTTGTTGAAAAAAAATTTCGTTGTCTCTAAATTTAACGTTCAAATTGCTTCTTTAAAGTCAGTTTTATTACGCACAAACCAATTCTCCACATTTTTTTTATCTCCATATCGTAATTATAATTTCTTTTCGAAAAAAAATTCTGCAAAATTCCACATATATTTTTTACTTTTTAAAATAGTTGCATAACCTTAAAAAAAAAAAAGTTACAATTTTATAAATATTTCGTTTTCACGTTTAATTTTTTTTTTAAAAAAAATTCTCCTTTTCAAAAAAATTTTTTTTCAATAACCTGATAATTTTTGATTTTAAGTCGATTAATTAAACTCTTGTAAATACAAAAGAAAAAAAAAAATACTCTTCTTCTACTTTGCATTTTCATTTTTCTCTTATAATAAACATCATGAGCAACCATACAACTAATTCCACCACCACCTCTGTACAAGTTTGTATGTTCTAACGTCTTATTTAAATTTCTCTCTCTTTATATACTCCTGGACATAAAATAATCATACACGCGTTTTATTTAAAAATTTATATTAGCACTACGAATAAAACCCCTTACCAATGAAGACTTGGTTAAGTTACCGTCAAGATTCCAACGTCAAGTAATAACCACATCAGTTCACACACCAAATCAAGTAATAGTTGAAGCTGAAAAAGGGCCAGTATTTCAATTTGACTATGTATTCGGTCCTAATAGTACACAACGTGAAGTATATGAAAGTGCTGCTGAAAATTTAATAGAAAAATTTTTGCAAGGTAAATTATTTCTTTTGTTCACTTGACCACGTGACTACATCGAAAGCATATATATAAAATACATCATCTATATTTTTTTTTTTAACTAGGTTTCAACGCGACCGTTCTAGCGTATGGACAAACTTCATCAGGAAAAACATTCACAATGGGTACAGCCGACAATCGTAGAATATCGCCGGAACAAAAAGGAATAATTCCAAGAGCAATGACCACATTGTTCTCTTTAATGAAATCTCCGAAATATAACTCTAAAACATTTATAATGAAAGTATCATTCGTTGAAATCTACAATGAAGAATTAATAGATTTGCTTCGCGAAGGTGATGTTCGACCACAAGTAATGATTCGTGAAGATTTAAAAGGAAATATTTATTGGAGTGGATTACAAGAAATGAGAGTCAATGACGTGAATGAGGTTATGGGGTACATATACATATAACATCATTTTAAAAAAAATATTTCGTTGAAAAGCATTATGAAATTCATTAAACTAATATTCTTATTATTTAATAATTAAAATTAAATTCCGTAGGTATTTAACAAAAGGTTCATTAAATAGACAAGTTGGAGCTACCGACATGAATTCACAATCTTCAAGGTCACATGCAATTTTCACGGTAACGATGTCGCAAAAAAAATTTCCAAGCCGACTGTCAACTCCGTCTCCAACAAAATCAAATCTCGGTCAACCTCTGTCGAGATCAGATTCTTCTGATGGTGAGGGTTCCATCATAACGAGTAAATTTCATTTCGTTGATCTGGCAGGTAGTGAACGAGTAAGTATCACGTGATAACGTCGTTATCTCTTTTTTTTTTTTTTTTTTTTTTTAATTTGAACGAATAATTCTTTAATACAATATATATTATAACGATTCTAATTTTTAATAATTCATAAACACAATCTAACTTAATCATCTCTGAACTTTTAAGTTAAAACGCACAGCTGCTAGTGGTGACAGGGCGAAGGAAGGAATATCAATAAATTCGGGTTTATCGGCATTAGGAAACGTAATTTCAATCTTGGGTGATCCAAGTAAAGCGAAGCATACTACACATATTCCTTATAGGGATTCAAAACTTACTCGACTACTACAAGATTCCCTGGGTGGAAATGCGCAAACATTAATGATAGCATGTGTTTCCCCCGCAGAATTAAATCTTACAGAAACACTTAATACACTTAAATATGCACAAAGAGCTCGAAATATTAAGAATGTGGCTACAATAAATCAAGAAGAAACTGGGTGGAATGATTTAGTACATATGCAACATTTAGTAACAAAACTTAGAGCGGAAATTACATCATTGAAAGCCTCTCTTATAACAGCTGAAACAAATAGCATTAATAATAATAATAATGAGAAAGAATCACATAATCAAATGCATAGCGTTAAGTCGGTAGTTAATGGACGAACAACACCTAGTGGTCGAATAACACCTAGCGGGCGAATAACACCTAGTCTACTTAAACCTCCGTCGGCTGGGATTCCGAAAGTATCAACGCCATCGGGAATTTCGGGTAGAAATCAAGCACAATCCATGCTAAGGCATCCATCAAATAAAAGTGTTTCCGAAAATGGAACGAATGGGAAAACTTTGACGAATGGAAAAGCTTTAACAAATGGTACAACTTCGGCAAATGGAACGAATGGAACGAATGGAACAAATGGTACAACTTCGGCTAATGGAATGAATGGAACGAATGGAATAACACAAAATAATAAAAATAATCAATTGGAAGAACAATTCTTACAACTTAAAAAATCTTACGCAGAACTTTCCATGAGATGTGCAATGATGCAAGGGGAACTTGCGATGCATCAAGATAATCACGATTTGGCTATTAATAAGGAGAAAGATTTCATATCAGTAGCCGAACCGGTTATTAAAGAATATGAAATTGCCGTTTCAAATTTAGAAAATAAACTTGCTTTAACTGAGGCAGAATTAGCACATACTGAAGAAAGATTATATGAATCTGAAAAGATATTTGACTTTTATAATGATTTAAGAAACAGTTTACAAAATCGTAACAAAGATTTACAAACAAAGCTTGAAAAACAAGAAATTGATTCCGAAAATTTACTCAAACGACATATACAAGAAAGTGAAAACTCCAAAAATGAATTATCCAAGAAATTACACGATGAAGCAGAAAAATATAACAAACAATTAAAATTATTAGAAGATCAATTAAAAGAAAAGGAGGAAGCTTATAGAAATTCTACCCAATCAACTAAAACATTAAAGAATATGTTAGAAGAAAAGAATCAAAAGAATTCTCAACTTGAATGTAAAATTTTGGATTTGGAGAATGCTCATCAAAAAACTATAAAAAGATTAGATGATATGACAATCAAACATCATCAATCTCTTGATCAAATTTCTGAATTAAAGATTGTTAATAAAGAAACTGTAAAGAATTTCGATGACCTGACAACAAAATACAACAAATTACAAAATATTCATGAAGAAACTGTAAAAATTTTGGATGACCTAACAATCAAACATCAAAAATCTCTTAATGAATTCTCAGAATTACAAAATATTCATGAAGAGATTGAAAGAAATCGTGATAATTTAACAATAAAACAATCTGAATTACAAAATGTTCATGAAGAAAATGTTAAGAATTTAAACGACTTAACAATCAAATATCAAAAATCTCTTGAAGAATATTCGGAATTACAAAATATTCATAAAGAGTCTATGAGGAATTTCGATGATTTAACATTCAAGTACCAAAAATCTACCAATGAATTTTTGGAATTACGAAATGTTCATGAAGAAACTGTAAGGAATTTTGATGGTTTAACAATTAAATATCAAAAAACTCTTGATGAAATTTCAGAATTAGAAAGAGTTAATAAAGAAACCATAAAGAATTTGGATGATTTAACAACTCAACATTCCAAATTACAAAATATTCATGAAGAAACTGTAAAGAATTTAGATGACCTAACAATTAAACATCAAAAATCTACTGATGAATTTTTGGAACTACAAAATGTTCATGAAGAAAGCGTAAAGAATTTGGGTGACTTAACTATTAAACATCAAAAATCTCTCAATGAATTTTTAGAATTAAAAACTGTACAAGAAAAAGTTGTAAAGGATTTGGATGACTTAACAATCAAATATCAAGAATCTACTGATGAAATTTCTGAACTACGAAATGTTAATAAAGAAGCTGTAAAGAAATTGGATGACCTAAAGATTAAGCATCAAGAATCTCTCAACCAAATTTCTGAATTAGAAAATAGAAATAAAGAAATTATAAAGAATTTAGATGATCTGACAATTAAACATCAAAAATCTCTAAACGAATTTTCAGAATTAGAAAATGGTAATAAAGAAATCATAAAGAATTTGGATGATCTAACAACCAAACACTCCAAATTACAAACTACTCATGAAGAAACTGTAAAGAATTTGAATGACTTAACAATTAAATATCAAAAATCTACTGATGAATTTTTGGAATTACAAAATATTTATGAAGAAAGTGTAAAGAATTTAGATGACCTAAAAATCAAACATCAAGAATCCCTAAACGAATTTTCGGTAATAGAAAATGGTAATAAAGAAACTATTAAGAATTTGAATGATCTAACAATTAAACATCAAAAATCTCTCAACCAAGTTTCTGAATTAGAAAATAGAAATAAAGAAACTATAAAGAATTTGGATGACCTAACGAATAAATATCAAAAATCTCTAAACGAATTTTCCGAATTACAAAATAGAAATAAAGAAACTGTAAAGAATTTGAATGACTTAACAATCAAATTTTCTAAATTAGAGAATGGTAATAATGAAATTATAAAGAATTTTGATGACCTAACGATAGAACACCAAAAATCTCTTGATGAATTTATCAAATTACAAAATGTTCATAAGGAAACTATAAAGAATTTGGATGACCTAACAATTAAACATCAAAAATCTCTGAATCAAATTTCCGAATTAGAAAATGGTAATAAAGAAACCATCAAGAATTTAGAAGAAACTGTAAAAGATTTAGATGATTTAAAGATTAAGCATAAAGAATCACTTGATCAAATTCAAGAATTAGTTAATCAAATTACCGAAAACAATATAAAGAGAGAAGAAATAATTGAAGATTTACAATCAATTTCTTCAACACCAATGACAACATGGACACCTTCAACATCATATCCCGAATCACGAGAAGATTCACCACCAACATCATCATCATCTATCATATCTACCACTACTGACACTAAATGTATAATTATTCCAAGACCTCAGTTACATCGTAAAGCAAAATCAATGTCATCATCAAATGAAATTAAAGATGATGAAATCAATAATTCATCCAATTTATTACATCTAGCGATAATAGAAAAACTTCAATTTGAACTTTCATTATTTGAATCATTTCATAAATATAAGTCTCAAAATTTAGAATCAGTTAAACGAGAATTATTAAAATTAGAACAAATTCATCATGAAACATTACAAGAAGTTGAAGAACTTCGTCAAGATATGAAGAGACGTGATGAATTAAATACAATTAATATTCAAAATCAAATAGAAATTGTTAATAATCTAAAGAAAGAAATTATACAAATGGAAATTATTTCACAAGAACAAAAGAAACGAATAAGTGAATTAGAAATAACACTTGAAACAACGAAAAAACAACAACAAAAACAACAACAACAACAACAACAACAACAACAAAAACAACGACAGAATAATAGTTTCTATATGGGTAATAATAGTCCCAAAAATCCTAAAAAATTCTTAACATTTGGATGTTTTGAACGAACCAAGGATAACAAATTACCGATAGAGATATCAATGTCAAATGAAGAACTTATTAAGTCATTACAAGAAAAAGTTGAAGAATTAGAACAAAAATTACGAGAAAATTGTACACCTCCAAGAAATGAAGTACAAGATTTACATAAAGTTATAATAGAGATGGAAAGGGAACAAAATGAAAATTCCGAAAATATTTTAACCTTAAAAAATTCATTAACTCAAAATCAAAGGTCATTAAAAGAGATTCAACAACGATTAACCATTAAGGTACAAGAAAATATCTCACTTGAAAAACAAGCGAATTTAGTAAAAGAACAAAAAGAGAAAATTGAACAAATTTTATTAGAAGAAAGAAGAGCTAAAGAAATAGCATTAAATCAGATAGAATTATTTCAAGAGAAAAGAATTGGTGTATTTTGCTTTTAATTACTTATAACTTATTATTATTATTATTTTTATTATTATTATTAATTTTATTATTTTGTATAATTTTATTATTTTGTATAATTTTATTATTATTTATTATTATTATTTGTATTTTATTATAATTATTATTATCGTTATTTATATACTGTAATTATTTATGTATTTGTAAAAATTTAATAAACTTATGTAAGATATTCTATACTCTACTCTATACGGCAGTGCCGTGTCATGCCGTATTTCCGTAACCCTGAGAATATTTCTACTTTACAGAATGATCGTTACGTGTAGATCAGGGGGTTTTTTACTGTTCATATGTATAAAAGCAATATAATAAAATTCCTCTCTCCTTCTATTAACAGAAATATGTTTAAATTTGTTATATTAATTATATTAATTATATTTTTTATTGATGTTGCAGTTTCCTTTGGATCTGTTGGTATTTATCGTATCTTTTCATATTATTTATTATTTGAATTATTATTTTTACTAATTGATTTTATTTATTATAAAAAAAAAAAACAAAAAAAAAAAGGACATGAAATAGCAGCAGTAATAGCACAAAGATTTCTTTCACCTAAAGCACGTGCAAATGTCATAAGATTATTGCCACCAGAAGCCAAAGGAAATTTATCATTGTAAATATTCAAATATTTTATTTTAAACATTTTTAATATTTTTAATATTTTTAATATTTTTATAATAATAAAATAATAATAATAATGAATATAACAATAAACAAAATATAATATAACAGTATAGCACCATGGGCAGACCAAATCAAACATCTTCCTGAATACAAATTTACTTCACCACTTCATTATTTAGATCCACCTAATGATTTCCCACCAAAAACTTGTTCATTCAGTTATAAAGCTGATAAACCTAATATTATTAATGCAATAAATAATTATACTTATCAACTTGATCCAAAAAGTGGATTAAAATATTGGCAACGAGCTATTGCATTAAGATTTTTAGTCCATTTTATTGGTGATTTGCATCAACCTTTACATAGTAAGTAATTTTATTAATTTTATTTTATATTTATATTTTTATATTTTATAATTCATATTTTATGGAATTTTATAATAACTAATAATTCTTAATTCTTTAATAGTTAACAATCGAGAAAAAGGTGGAACTAAATCATCAGGTAATAAATAATAGTAAAATAATAAATAATGAATAATTAAAAAAATAAATATTTTAATTGATTTATTAATATTTAAATTGTAGCAATCTTCGAAGGTCACAAGACAAATTTACATACTATTTGGGATTCTAGGATTATTAATGTATGTATTTATATTATGTCATTAATTAATTATTAATTTATTATTATTATTATTATTATTATCAAATAATTAATAATTAATTATTGTTATTAATTGATTAATGAAGAAACAAATTCGTGAACTTTATTCAAATGGAACATCATCATCGAATGCTTCAAATTCTTCAAGGAAAGGTAAATCTTATGATTTATATGTTGAACATATAATCAAATTAATCAAAACAATGTGGATTAAAGAAATTCCTGATTGGATGGTTTGTAAAGACGAAATAAAATTTGACACAAAAACGTATTCAAAATCACAAATACAATTTCAACAACCACTTATTAACAACAACAACAATAACAACAACAATAACTACTACGACAACAACAACAACAACAACAATAATAATCCAAAAATTCCATCACATTCAGCAGTTTGTCCAGGTTTTTGGGCATCACCATTGAACAAACTTAATTGTCAAATAACTTATAAGAATTATGATCCCGAAATAGATTTAAGTATTGGAGAATATTATGAAAGAATTGTTAAAGGAAAAGTTATGGAAAAATTATTGGCTATTGCTGGAATTAGAATTGCTGCCGTTTTGAATACTCTTCTTGGTTAACCCTTATTATTTCTTTTTTGTATAATATTTAATTAATAGAATTAATTAATTATTTATTTATTAAATATTATAATCTAATGTTGATATGATATTTGACATGATCAAAATTGGACAAGAAAAAGTTATTGAAAAATTGTTACAATTTTGATTATGTGATAATTTTCAATAAAACTTTATTAATGATAAAATTGATTGTTCACAATTAAAGACCCTTATTATATTGAACTTCCTTTACTTTGTTGATAAGACCTTTTACAATTCTTATTCACAAGTAATTTCCGATGATTTTTTATTTGACTTATTTTTTTTTATTTTTTTTATTTTATTGTTTTGGTATTTTTATTTTTTATTGTTTTATTTAGAAAAATAACATCTTTTTCCTGTCCCAAACAATGATTCTAAACCGCCATAACATCCAACATGTGATCACTAAAGATAGTATATCCACCACGTACCTTTTCTTCGATTCATCGTTATCGCCGTCATCGTCACTGTCGTTATCGTCACCGTCGTCGTCGTCAACGTCATATCCAAAATCCAGAGGATTCTAAAAATTTTTAAAAATAATAATAATAATTATAATAAAACTTGGAATATAAAAAAACTCACCATTCTGATTTGCAGGAATAGCTACACATTATAATGGATTCTCCGGACTTCCTCCCCATAAAATACTAACCTTTTTTAAGAAAAAATAATAAAATTTAATAAAATTTACTGGTATAATTTTTGGAAGGACCGTGGTGAGTGAGGTCAGAAGATGGAATATGCATAGATCTCGGTGATTACGGAGATTGTGGAGATTTCGGAGCCCTATAACCCGTTAACAGAAATAATCAGAAATGACATGCTATTTCCTTTTCGAGTTTCGTTTACATGTATTCTGCAAAGAAGTTTTCAATGGCAAAAAATAGTGATCAGGTTTATGTGGGAAAATGTTATATAAATGAAATCCGTTACACAGATTCGGTAGCACAGATAGTAATTCAGATTTGGTAATCGGATAAATAATCGCTGAAGTTTATGAGTAATTTTTTTGTATATGCATATGTGTCTTGACACTAGCTCCGCTATCCAGTGATCAAAATAATTCATGATGCACATTCTCTAATCAAAAATTTTCCCGTTATCTCAACTTTTTTTTTCAAAAGTTCGAAGTCACATGATATTTACCGTGACCATTTTCCTTATTTTGGTCACGATCGGAAAAATTATATCTACATTACACGAAAAAATTGATACATTCTAACCGGAAAATTATTAGCTATACATTTTATAATTCGTATATGTTTCTATAACCGGAAAAATTCTTTATTAATAGATATACGATAAAAATACATGGTAAAATACATGATAAAATATAGCATGTGGTTTTTTATATCGCAATAATTCTCGACACTGTGTGCCGCCTCACGCCAATCATATATGCGTGGCATCAATAGCAATACATCAAAAAAAATAATTCACGAAATACACATGTAAAAATGAACACGATTAATTATATGAAATCAGCCACCTGGGCCAGCTTTATTGATGCAGTAAAAAATTACATTGATTTTGATTTGATTATATCTATTTTACATTAAGTGGAGATCTCACAGTTGTACTGTCCTCTATGTGTCTAGTTGATCTAGGTAAAGATGCATTGTATAGCAAGGTCATATTAACAATCATAATATTCCGTAATATCAATAACGACTTAATAAATTCTGATACAATAGAAGGATTAGATTGTTGAACTGATATATCTGCCTCGCAAAGATGGTAGTAGTGATGAATATCATTCATATTCCGAATGAGAACATTAAGGAGCAATTTATTCCCAGCTACCTGAATTCCAATAATGCCGAATTCATCCTTGTCGGGTTTGCAACTTTTACAAGTCCAATAAAGTCCATCATTACATTCACGCCACAGTTTTACTCCATCATCAATTTCTTTTTTTGCTGTACAAAATAAACGTGAACATTCGATGTATAAAAGTTCGTAATATTTACCTCTGTGTTTTATCACAAACATAACATCCGGCCGTTTTCCTAATCATCCAACACCTCTTCTATTTGCACTGGCACTACTTTGTCGTTCAGAACTAGTAATGAATGTGGGTTTACCTAAGGGAAGGTCTTTCAATGTAGCCCGAATTGCTGGTACAATTACATTGGTAACATAAGTACCTTCATTCAACGATTTTACAAACTCAGACCCAAATATAGGATTGTTCCAAGAATCACTTCTAATGCCAATGAAAAAGTTGAAAAAATAGTAGCAAATTATTGGTCATGTTAACTACATTGAAAGTTTGATAAATATACTTGCAAAGTATTCAAAATCCTCTTCGCAACATATGAAAGTTCAGTATTTGTCTCCTTCCATATTCCGTCATGCAAAAGTTTTTGTGATAAATCAAACGCACAATTCTCGATAAAGGTTGATACAAATTCATCACATTTTCCTTGGACTTTTAGAGGAAGAGCTGTTGGAACCATTTGTCGTACTGGTTTCATAAATGTATATTGTAGATGTCCCGGTAACTGTTGCACCAGTCTTGAATCATCACTAATTACCTGACTGGCAAGAGGATCTTTCCACGACAATTCGGAAATAGTTATATTATTTACACCAGAATACAAATGCTAATAGAGAGGTGTTGTATTTTTCTTGAGTTTCCCTTTTAATTTGATTATATTCTTTCTAATTTTATCTGGGGTAATAATATCTTCCTCACGTGTTTTTACTGCTCCAATATTGCGTAAACTACAGACAGTTTTATAAGAAATTTCAAACTAATGTAAACATATAAACAGTTAGTTTCTATTGATATTTAAAAAATAATTTTTAAAACGCATACGTCATCAAATATATATATAAAGCCCTATTCATGTGTGGCCATCATGCAAATAAGACCTTATATGATACTAAAATAATCAAACATAGATCCCTTAAATACTTCTCATGCATCAAGAAAAATTTCCTATAGGTGGACTATGAAATATTTAAGCTATTATGTTTGACGCTTTAAAATGGTATCACCGCCAACACTATTCATCATTTGAGATTAATATATCTCTACTCAAAAGTTCTTTTACATACCTCAGGAAAAATCTCAAGAAGAGTTGTATAACGTAAGGAACCCCGACCATTATTATTGTTTACAAATGAAACAGCTCGCTCTATAATGATTCTTAACTCAGTTTGCGATATTTGAGGGTTCTCTTCTATTTCCTGATAAATGACAGAGCCTGCGGTAATATGTTTTTCTTCAGCATTTACTAAGAAGTTATAAATTTTTGTATATAAATCAGTAAACATGTTGACAAAAATTTTATTGATATGTAAGGGTCAAAAGTAAATAACAATAACTCCGCTATACTCCTTTTAGCGTGCCCCATAATATTTCGAAAAATAGATTAGAAAAAAAGGTACGTGTATATATCTCGAGTCAATTATTCAAATCAGATTATCGATGGGCTTTGCCTATAAATAAAGACCAACAAAAGTAAAAAAAGTGATGTTATATTTCGAAAAGCACGCAGATTCTATTATATTCGAACTCTTTCTATAACACATATCATATGATAGGTTAATTATTTTAACAGAAATATTAAGTTACACAAATTATATTTTTATTTTATCGAAATATACATAATAATCTAATTTACATTACAGTCTTCGTAATCCTGATAAATCTATATCATCAAAAAATTTATACGCCCCAAAACATTCATTTCAAATATTAGCCTGTGGAAGCAGTGAATCAGGAAAAACAGAAATGTTTGGACATCAGTTTCTTGGTAGTAAATATATAAAAGTATATCCATATATGATTGGTAATAAAGATAAAGTATCAAAAAATAAAAACTATGAAGAAAGGTATATTCTTTGTGATGATTTAGTCATTGTTGCTCAACATCAAGATAAGGTGTTATGAAAAATGGTACAATACTTTTTTGAATTTATAGCTAGAGATAAAAATTATCCATGGTATGAAAATGTTCAATTCAAATTAATTGGTCTAGAGAAAATACCTAATATCTCAAAATTTAAAAATACTGATTAGAAAACTTTTATAGTATTTGATGACCTTGCCAGTGAACCTTTATCAACACAGCTAAAAATTATATCATTTTTTAGATCTAGTAGGCATGAGGGAGTTAGTGCAATCTATATTGCACAATAAATATACATACAAATTTAACATATCGCGGTTGTACATTAGAAACTATAAAAAGATATGTATGATAATTATGAACCAATAGTAAAAAAAGTTTATGAAGTAATAAAAAAGAGTTATACCTGCCACCCAAATTCAAAATCCAAATGCCGAAATCCCAAATGCCGAAATCCCAAATCCCAAATCCCAAATTATGATTAGTATTTTTTGCCGAAATCCCAAATCCCAAATCCCAAATACTAGTAATTTGGGATTTTGGCATCCCAAATTCCAAATGATTTGGGATTTGGGCAACACGTATAAAAAGAGTATGACAGAAGTTTCCTATTGATGATCATGTTACACAAAATTTTATATATTAAATATATGTATATGATTTATAATAATTTATAAGTATCACATTAAATATAGAAACTATATACCTTGAAATTATTACTAGATGTTATTACTATCCTTTAAACCATTCATTTTGGTGGGCAAATTTGCCTGCTAAAATAATTGGAGAAAAATTAGGCCTGGAAAAATTTTTATTATTAAAGTTTTAACTTAAATTGGTCAGAATAACTCCTCAGAATATAGATTATGTGGTGACACTGCGGCACATCATGACATTTAGTTTGTAATCCAAATGATCATTGCAAATCTGAGTCACATGAAATATGCCATGCTTCAGTTGTGAGATATTCTGAACAACAGAACTTCTGAAAATTATTCAGATAATTTATTTTAACTACTACATATCTAAATGAAATAAAGTTGTTTTGTAATATGGGTACTTATCTATAATAAAATTTTATGTTATTGAAATAATTAGTTGGCTAAATTACTATGTAAAATTAAAGATTAACTTGATACATTTATATCAATAAACTGATAAATGAATTTGATTAAAAAAAAAATTATAAATTATAAACTTATAAATGAACTGGTAAAAAAAAATAAAAGATAAAAAAATAATTTTTTTTATCTAATTTTAAATTTTATAATCCTGCAAAACTCTCTTAGAT